AAAAGTCCCGTTGGCTTCAAGGCATCAATCTTGTTCTGTTGGCAGATTAGGCAAGCTTTCGCAAAGGCCTGGATGTCCTGCCTCATTCCTTCCCAAAACACCAGTTGTGTCAATCTTTTATAAGTTTGAAAATATCCAGAATGACCTCTTGATGGGGAATAATGAAATTCCTGCAGAAGTTGTTGAACTTGGGGGCTAGATTTAGGCAGAACCAGACGATCTTCATAGGATAATAATGGCCAACTAACCTGAAATGTGAGTGACTAGTAGGATCGACAATCAAATCTTGGCAAATCTTCTTCAGCTTGCCATCCTGATGAATGGCCTTTTCCTACTCCTCTTTTTTTGGCAAAATAACATACTGAGATGGCATTACACTCTATTGTCCCATCACGCCTGGATAAGGCATCAACTGCCTTATTTTCTAACTCAGCTTGTATTGAATCTCATAATCTAACCCAAGCAACTTAATGATCCACTTTTGTTGCTCTTCTTCTTGCAGCCTTTGCTCATTCAAATAATGGAGGGTGCATTGATCAGTTTTAATTATGAAGTGTCTACCCAACAAGTAATGCCGCCATTTCTAGACAGCTAAAACAACAGCCATCAACTCTTTCTCGTAGACTAATCTTAGCCGAGATCGTGTAGAAAAACCTTGACTAAGAAATGCTAGGGGCTTGCCTTCTTGCATTAGGACAACCCCAATGCCTTGCCCAGAAGCGTCACTCTCGATGATAAAAGTCTTCAAAAAATTTGGGCATCGCTGAGACGGGCATTGTGGTCATGACTCGTTTCAACTCCTCGATTGTCTTTTGCGCTAGTTCAGTTCAAACAAAAGCATCTTTGCGAAGAAGGTTGGTTAGAGGCAATGCAATCTTTCCATACCTATTAACAAACCTCTAATAGTATTCGGCTGGCCCAAGAAACCTACGAAGTGCCTTGATATCTTTCAAAATTGGCCAATTCAGTATACAGTCCACCTTGGAAGGATCAACCGTAATGTCTTGGGTCAAAATGAGGTGGCCTAAATACTCCAATTGAGTTTGCCCAAAGTTGCTTTTTTTTTTTTTTTTATTGACTACTAATTAGTGCCTTAACAATTTCTGAAAGGTGGGCCTCAAATGAGGCAAATGTGCTTCCAGGTTAGTGTTGTAGATCAAAATATCATAAAAAAAAAAAAGAACCAAGATAAACTTACGCAAGTAAGGCTTGAATATGTCGTTCATGAGAGCTTGAAAGGTTGACGGAGCATTTGATAACCCGAAGGGCGTTACAAGGAATTCGTAATGTCTTTCATGTGTCCAGAAGGCTGTCTTATAGGTGTCCTCCTCCTTGACCCTTATCTGATGATATCTCGACTTAAGGTCTAATGTCAAAAACATCGTGGCTCCTCCTAATTCATCAAATAGTTCGTCTATAGTTGGGATGGGGAACTTGTCGGGTATCGTTATCTTGTTAAGTGCCCAATAATCCACACAAAAGTGCCACCTTCCGTCTTTCTTTTTTACCAAGAGTACCAGGCCAGAAAAAAAGGCTGACACTTGGTTTGATGATCCCTAAGGCCATCATCTTCCAAACAATATTTTCTATCTCGTTTTTTCTGATAGTATGGGTACTAGTAAGGCTTGACATTAGGGACTAGAGCTCCCTATTCTAGCATGATGGCATGATCATGCGCCTTTGCCGGCAGGAGCCCTGGTAAGGGTTCAAACAGAGCTTTATGCTCCCTCAACAATTCAGAAATACTACTGTCCACCACTATTTCACCCACTTCATGTAATTTCAGATTTCCAGATTCCAACAAATACCCTGGTCCCTCTGTCTGTAGTGTCTTAATCATCTTCTTCAACGACACCCTTGTCTTACTCAGTGTAGGATCCCCAACCAAAGCTACCATTTCTCTAGACTGATTAAATTTCATCACCGACTTTTTCTAGTTCATTGTGATCTCACCCAAGGTTTCAAGCCTGATCATGTTGAAAGGGTAGAAGTTCTGAACCATAGTGATGTTCTACAGCTTCAAACACACCTCATGGCATTATCCCAGAAAACTCACTCTATAACCATCCCCAACTCTGGCTCCAAAAGGTTTGGTTTGGACCACTAGAATTTTTTACTCTTCTACCAATTTTCTTATTGATGAAGTTATGAGAGGCCCACTATCAATCAATATTACAACACCCTTACCTCCAATTTCACCTATTAGTTTCAAGGTTTTGGGTCCGTTTATGCCTTCTACCGAACTGATTGAAAGTTCAATGGTCATTGGTACTTCTTCCTCAGTCGTGTCTTCCTCCGTGGACAACTCATTCACCTTTGGATCATTGTCTTACACTAACAGCACTTGGATTTGCTTGTCCCTACATCGATGGCCTAGTGAGTATATGGTGTCACACCAGTAGCATAAACCCTTCTCCCTTTTTCTTTGGATCTCAACTTCGGTCATCTTTTTGTAAGGGAACTCTCACCGAAATGGGTTTGGCCGAAAGTTGATCAATGAGGATGAGTTGGGACTGGAATGAATCTCGCTTTGACTTTGTCTTAGGGGTGGGTTCAGGGTTAAAGATTGGGTTGATTCATTTGGGGTTTGGGTCCTATTGGTTTCTTCAGGTCAAGTCGAGTAGCTATAGGTTTGTGACCCAATAGATGAATGAGCCCACTTGTTTAGCCGGCCTGGTCCAAGTTTGGCCTTATCCACAATTTGGTTTCTCTCTTCCACCCTTTGGGCCAGTTGGGTCACATGAGTCAGAGAATTGGGCCGACCAATTATATTGGGTTACTGCAGTTTTATTTCAGCTTTAATTTCTAGTTTGAGCCCATTCAAAAACGCAATAGTCAACACTTCTTCTCTTTCTCCGACAGTTAACGTTGCCACCTCCTCAAATCGACAACGATACTCCAGCATCATGTCATTTTGCTTTGTCGCGATCAACAGCTCCAAGGGACTCACCTCCTGAGTTCCACTAAATCATTGAGAGAGGGCTACCTTGCCAAGTGGTCATCGCCAATCGGGTCTCCATCCATTGGTACCAGTGAAAGGCCTCTCCCTCCATACACAGCGTTGTCATCGACACTCAGTGCTCATCGCGATTTGGTTGGACGTGAAATAGCGTTCTACCCTGAAAATCCACCCATACGAGTCTTCATCGAAAAAGATAGGCAACTACAACTTCCGGCCACTCTAGTCACGCCGATACCACGCCTTTCCACCTTGATTGCATCCATCCCTTGTTGGGTTCTCTCCTTGGGTTCCCTGGTTTCTGTGAAGCCCATTTTCTGTTCGACCTCCTCCGTTAGCTCTGCCTTGGTTTCCTAGATTTTCATGGAGTTCTTGCTAGTTGTGACTTTCCCAGCCACAACTCGAGTTCCCAGCTAAGTTTCTTCTACTCTCCTCCTCTTCTTCATCCTTTTTACGCACCCAATTCTGTATATCCATCAATATCTCCCTCATTACATTCACCGTCTCAGTCACCTTAGCAACATCTTTCTCAACGTTGTCTAATCTATTTTCCATCCTTGTACCAACCATACCCTAAAATCTTCTAGCTCTGATACCAGTTTATTGGAACCTGACTCTAATTCTTTAGTCAATTCTCACGCTCAGTCCACCACAACATCCAGCAAGCTTCAAATAAACATCCAACACACAGTATGCAATCAAATAAAGCTGATATTTGTATTAAGAGAATAATAGAATTGAATTACAAATAGAAAAGAAACATTAAATAAGCAGATAATAGGCTGATCTTCGGGGGTCAGCTCCTCCTATACAATTCTCCACTGAATTCCTTGATAGCACACTTATCCAACCTCCTCTCTTTTATTCTAGGTTCCCACTCTAACTATCTCATCACACTCGTTGTACTAATGTGCCACCTGTCAATCCTTACCCTTTCCTTTATGCCCTTTTCTGTTATACCATTTGGTTATCGAGGGTCGATCAAAATATTTATCAAATTATCTTCCTGTCATTTATTTTAATACCTAACTTGATAATAAAGAAATTTTTATTATTTCAAAAACCTCAAAAAAAAAAAAATTTATTATTTAAGCAAAAGCTGAGGTGGAATCAATTGCAATCATGTATCCAAACTCCATAGGTTAAGGAACTGTTCTCTGACCTTCAGCTTCATATTAAGAAGCATTCATAGTAGGTCCTGCATTTTATCCATCAAGTCTATTTCTTCACTATTCAATTGGGTTCTTCATTTTGTGATGGATTAATCAGTAGCCCCACAGGCCTGAGAGCTCAAAGCCAGCCCAAAACTTGGTTTTAAAAATCATAATAAGGATTAGACATGGGCAAAGACCGGTCCCAATCGGGTCCGGGTTTGGACCCGATTGAGACTGGTCCTATTTGGGACTAGTCACTCATGGGCCTGAGACCCCATAAGAAATTTCAAGGCCTGGACCAGTCTTGGGCCAGTAGGACCGATCCCACAGGCCTGGAAAATTTTCTTCCACCCTCCAACTTTTTTTTATATTTGGTTAAATAAAATTATATAGGGGGATTAATGTAATTTTTAGGGGCCTAGAAAACATTTTGCACCCGTGGAGATTAGTAAATTTTATAAAATATCAATTTAACCTTTAATATTTTTGTCGGTTTCAAAATTACAGGGGGGTTTTAGATATTTTTTTGAAGACTTTTTTGAAAAAATTCCAAGGGGTTGTCCCAGGCCCGGGCCTTGGAGGAGGGCCCAATCTAGGGACCGGTCCCTCCTCCATGGGCCTGGTCCGGGTTTGGGACCAGGCTCGTAGGACCGATCCCAAATGCCCAGGTCTAAATTAAGGATAAAGAAAACGAAAAGGCAATCACATTTCTACATAGAAATCATTACAAGTTTTGTAGGCTTGAAAAAAGAGTACATCCTTTTTACCCCTTTTTTCAATCTTCCATCATTTCTTATCAACTAAAAAGAGAAAAATGGTGTCCCCTCTAATCTTTTAGTCATGGAAATTGCTGATATTGACCTTCACATGACTGCAGGCTGCTAATCTTTTACAAAACAAACAGTATATACACTATCACTTATTTCACCAGGCTAATATCTTTACAACCTCAGTGTACAAACAATTTGGAAGTTTATCAGTTATATTATACAGGAAATACACACTTGAACAAAAACAGAAGACAAGACAGGAATAAAACATAATATGTAAGGCAATACAAAAGCTACATCACTCACTTAACCAAAAAAATAAAAAAAAAAGTTACATCAGTCATCGGATAACTTATCAGGACTTCAACTGAATTTGATTAACCATAATCATATATTACTTAAACATTTCCCAGAGCTTTCTTTATGTCAGCCTGCATCAAGAAACCAAAGGCAAAAAGGAAGGCCAACATGAGTTATTTGAAAACCACGAAACGTGAGACAAATGTATTGATGTGAAGCACTCATGATGGAGACACACAGTACCTCAATTGCCATGGGAGGAGTTGTTGTGCCATAGCGACCAATGACATGCCCTTCCTTATCAACCAAAAACTTGGTAAAGTTCCACTTTATCCTGGACCCAAAGAATCCAGAAGAATTTGCTTTGAGAAATTTGTAGACAGGTGCAGTAGTTGGACCATTGACACGTACCTAAATATAAGATGATAGAGCATCAGTTATCAATTACAATTAGCACTGAACATCATCAACTAACTTCTGCAATCAAGGCCAGAATATCCAAAAAGACACAAACACCAGCTCAACTTTCAAAGAAAAAACATGGTGATGTGAGAAACCATCGACATATTTGAAACTACATAAACTGATAAAACATAGTGAAAGATCTATAATAACAACCAATTTAATAATGTTCGACTTTGAATGAGTATTCTTCACTATAGGTGAACATCAACCAGAAAGAATTAAGTTGAAGAGACATGTCTGATTTTCTGGATTTAACCACAAAATTAATCATTAAAAACCATGAAAGAAAACCGTAAAGGAAAACCATAAAGCCGAACCATTAACTAGAATGAATTTGTGACACATTAGACAGCATCAATGCCAAACAAATTTAGAAACTGAAATTCATACCTAATTCTTAATATGTTAGGCATTATGTTTCAAGCTGGTTATTGAGGTGATTTTGCATAAGAGAAAAGCCTCAATATCTGAGCCAAAGCTACATGAGATGGATCATATTCTTTTCATACCCATTATGCCTATTCTTCTATCTATTACAATTGTGATTGTTTCTAAAGTCCAAGAGTTTCTTTTTATTTTTTCCATTTTCTGTTGGACTTGAAGATGTCATTGCACACTTTAAACGACACAAAATTTACAAACACTACCAAGTTTAAATTATTCACATCGAGCACCAGGAGGAGTTAACACTTATAACTGTTAGCATAATACAGTAGTAGCAAAGACAATGGTTCACAATGAAAACTAAACCAACCTCTCCATGCAAAGAGTTTCCGTAATTAGATCATTCACATTTAGCAAATACACTAAGATACCACTTCCAAAAAGGCTAAATTGACTCAGTTTAGTAAAGGCAACACCGAGAAAAAAAATGCCATGATAATGATACAGATAAATTACCAATCTTCATAATAACAAATTTACCTTTTGAAAAATTGGATATTCAGCCTTGTATCTTGTACACGCAAATTCTTGAGCCTCCTCGCTCGACCCAGGCTCCTGCTTCAAAAATTGGTTGCATGGAAATGCCAAGACTTCAAAACCTGAAATCATCCAATAAAATTTAAATTCTCAAGTCCCTGAAAAAAGAACATTTATACAAAAATCAGAAAAGAAACATATATTTGCAACATACAAACACCTAAATTTTGTGTTGATGAGTACAACATCAAAGCAGAGATACTCTTGTACAATTTTTTAACATAGAAGAAATTTAAAAAAAAAATTAATTGTATATATATGTAACGTACTATTTCATGCATGAGTTTTCCTTCAAGTAGGCCAAAGAAAAAACCCAGATAAACAAAACAAAACAAAATTTACAGTAGCACATCCACTGATAGGTGACAATAAGCAAAATAACTAATCTGGTTTTATCACAAATAAAGAAAGTAAAATAGAATTTTGCACTTGAAACATGTAACATTAAAAGATATAAGAAGAAAAAAAAGAAGGAACCTTTATCCTTGTATTTGTTATAGAGATCAGTCAACTGGGTGTAATTCGAATCCGTAAAGCCACTGTTCGAAACGGCAAAAAGAAGAGTAAAAAAAAAAGCAGAAATCGAGCCCGAAACCAGAAGCAGACAAAAAGAAGAGAGGGGAAAAAGAATACCATTTGGAGGCAACGTTGACAACAAGAAGGACCTTCCCTTTGTAAATGCTGAGGTCCACGTCTTTGCCTCTGCTATCCTGTTCAAAACCCAAATGATTCAACACAAAGAAATGATAATGGTACAGTAAAGAAACAGAGAATTGAAGCAAAAAAAGAACCAAAAAGAAAACCTTGACAGTGAACTCGTGGATTGATTTCTGTGGAACTGAAGGAGAAGCTCCCATCTGGGTATCAGATGCAACTATTTTTTAGCTTCTTCGCTTTCTTTTCCTCTTCTATCTTTTGGAGGTTCAACGTTTATGGCTTTATGCAACAGGCATTTGATTTTCTTATTAATTTATTACTTTTTTTTTTTCTTTTTTTATTGTTTTGTTTTATAAATTAGTTAAAAGGACCTTTTATCAATTACGAGCCGTTCGATTTCAATTCATCAGTCGTTTAAAATATTGAGTAACTAACTTTTACCACCCAAGGTTTCCCTTACTAACATTTCGACCCAAAAAATTTCAAAATACCACTTTCCCCCCCCAAAGTTTATAATGCTTTAATACCCAAAATACACTTCACTTTCTTAGCCAGCATTTGGCGAGTTACCAAGAGTCAGGGTAAGATGGGTTTTGTAGAGTGGAGGCCAGTGGATTGAATGGTGATGACCGATTGAATATTCGTCACTGGAATTAGTCTGAAATCAACTGAGAACAGGAAACCCTAGCTTTATAATGATTAGTAATCGACAAGAAATCAAATGCCAAAGTAAGAGAGGCTTTTTATAAAAGAGACTGTAGTTTCAAATTATAGTGACGAAGAGAATTTCCGCCGCCATGATGGGCTTTAGATAGTGATGGAACATTAACTTTGGGTGGAAAAGTGCTATTTTGAAACTTTTTGGATTACAAATGTCCAAGGCAAAGTTTGAGTGGGACAAAGTTATTTTCTCTTCAGATGTTTAATCAAAACTGAACATATATTAATTTTTTGGTTTATGTGCTGTTATTACGTGAATGATCTGCCTACACAAAATAAACATTATACCAATATAAATCTTGTTTTTTGTTGAAAAGAAATATAACATATTTTAGTTAAGGACTAGTTGGCGTTGAACTGTAAAAGGAGCCTTTTTTGTATCCAAATTGAACAATCTAACAACTCTCTGCACATTTTTAGCAATATTCTTTCCCTCTTCAACAAGCCCCACCATGTGACAAATGAAATAAATACAATACCATACCACACCATACATTATTTTAGGTCTTTAAAGTCCAGTTAACTTCCCCACAACCTTATCAAAACTCTCATGGACCCAATTATTATTATTTCCAGTGATCAATACTCCAGGATCATACCATCCACAGACTATTTTATCAGATAGATACTTGTATTTTGCAGCATCAAAATACAATAAATTGCTCAAATTGAAAAATAAATAAGATATAACATTGACTTTATATATTTATATATATCAGTTTAGAAGCCACCGATTCTAAATTCGCGTAGAAAATTTTTCCATTGTAACAAAAAATGTGGAACTAAAGTAGTTCCATCATATGCCTAGTTGATAAGTGTTCCTATAAAGGCTTCCAACAAGTAAATTACACTAAAAATTGTAAAAGGAATGAGATAATTCTAGAATTGATATAGTTACATCTCCAACTCTCCTCTACAATGACCATGACTATCTTTCTTACCACCCTTCTGCTTTGGCAGATGAGTTGATAAAATACATATATACAGTCCCAGCATGTCAACGTGCTCGTCTCCTGAGCCTCTCTCATCTGAAGTTTTGTTCCTTGGTGCGATGATGAGGCTTGGCCCAGGAATTGACTCACTCTTTTTGAACAAGCCGCAGAACCCAGATCAAAATTGGGACAAACCTAACAAATACAAACCATAAAAATTCTTTGATAAGAAAAAGCCCTAATTCCTTTGTACTAGACAACTGTTATCGAAAACTTTTGATTGCCAATTTCAATTCTATGCCTGAATCATCCAACAACCCTAATTGCAATTGTTAAAATATCGTACCAATGCTTATAGTGTAATAATATTTGTTCATCTCGGCCGCCAACTGCCTGGAGCTGAAACACACACACAAAAAAAAAAAAAAAAAGCCCTTCAGCCACTAAAATTTTGTTTAGCAACCTAACATATAATGCTAACAGGGGCAGCGTGATGGCTGATCCAGTCATTGCGAATTTTAATGATATTGCAAGAACAATGCATAGAACGGATATCTAAGTAAGAAATCTCAAAGAGAGAGAACAAACAACATTTTCTGTTTTCTTTCAAAAGATAATCTACTAATAATTTTACATACCTCTTATTCCCACTGGTACAGGACCTCCAGAAGGTGGTCTAATGGGTAAAGAGCTCCTGTGATTCATTCCCCGGGGAGGATATGCCCACCCTTGGTGTGGCATTCTTGTTGGCTCACACGGGGGACCAACATATGAACCAGGTCCATATGATTCTTTGGGTTTGTCATGGTATCTTGGACCTGGATGAAAAGGAAAAGAACAGCATTAGCAATGCCACCAGAGAATACCAGAGTTAAAAATAATATATCCCCAACTCACTGCTAAATATCCTCACCAGAAAAAGAGGGAGCGGGAAACCTCCAATTCTCTTGGAGTTCATATGGGGCCGATTTCATTCTATCATGGTTATTGTAATAGTTTCCACCATCATGTGGCAAAGAATGGTATCTATGTGAGTGGGAAGGGGGTGGGGGCTCCCTCCTAGATTTAACATTCTGGCCCGACTGAACATACGAGAACTGATTTGATGGTGGAGCATGAGGTGGCAATGGAGGGTACGGCTTGTGATGGAACCTTGGGCTATCAGCTTGTTGAACATTGTTCGACGGGCATACAGGATAACTGCCAAAAGAGCTAGTAGAGTCAGACATCTGCATCGGCATCTGATGATCCCGACAATCAGAAGCATGATAAAGAACTGCATTTGTGGGCATTGATGGATTCATTCCTGGTGCAACTGACTGCTGGGCTACAGATTGTCTCACATCATTTTGCATATTCTGCAAATGTTAGCCAAAACCAAAAAGAAATAGTAAATAAATACATCCCACTTCTTTCAAACTACTACTGACTAAGAAAAAATTTTAAATATTCAAACGAGCATAGAACGTACATGCATGCTTGCTCCATTAGAGTAAGGTTCAGACATTGCACATGGGGGAAGGGGAGGAGGAGGTGGTGGTGGAGGAGGCGGTGGAGACGATGGCAATGGTGGTGATGAAGGAGGCACATCTTGTGGGAGGGGAGGGACAAAGGGCGCTGACTGATCAAGTGATGTCAGTGCAGTATTGATTTCAGCACTGTTATTGGTTGAAACCATCTCCATGTCACAAGGGGGGGCCACATCCTCCATTTCAAGTTCACCATCAACGTCTTCCAATATATGTCTATGCTTCTCAATGACAGGGACTGTAACCTGCTCATCAGGGGTTTCAGATTTATGTTCAGGAGTGACAGCCTCAAAACTCCCTCCATCAGAATCACTTCCTTCATCTTCATCCTTCAGCATACGGGGCATACAAAATCCAGGAAGCTGAAAACTCGAATTGCTGTGACAACAGGAATGTCCAATAAATAATAATGTCTAAATAGTTTAAATTGATCTATACTATGAAAAAATTCAATAAAGTCATACCTTCCATATTCATCAACAAGCATACCCTCCATATCTCTAATAGGATCATCTAAAGCCCTTTCTGTTCTTGCTGAACGACGAGAATACGCACCAGCAGAAGATGAACAACTAAATGAATCCAGTTCTCGCATATGGTGACGAATAACTGATTCTGGAAGTATTCTTCTTTCCAGCCAAAGCCTCAAAACCTACACAAAAGAAATGATGGTAAGAAATAACCAAAAGAGAAGACAATTATTAAACTACAAAAATACATTGGAAATATTCCTCCACGTGCCTTTAAACATTGCCTACGATTTTCCAGAGCAGTATTCCCAGGAGGAGCAGCAGCTGCCAGTAAGCGTGGCAGCACAACCTGAATAGCTGAAGGGTATATACCACCAACATCACCTGAATATTTTAAGTATAAACACAACCATAAACCCCACAAGCAATCAATTTGATTTAAACCATCATAAATTAAGGCAACTGCACTATAACGACACTGCAGGCACATTACCTCTCAAACCTCGAGAGCACTGAGTTATAGAATCCACAAGGAAGAACAAATCCACCCTTTTGTGTAAGCTAGACTCGCTCTCCAAGTTTCGAACTAGAATTTCCACCACCTAATTAAATCGGGAAGAAAAATAACACATAATTAAATTTAGGATTTAATGGATATCAAGTATCAACATTCGAAAACCACCAAAAAAAAAAAAAAAAATTCGACATTTCAGAGTAGTCAAACTTCATATAAATGTAAAACAACAAAATCAATATTTTCTTCAGCCCATTGGTAAAGTTCTTTTGGAAAATTAAAAGAATGCTTTAAAATAAAAGAGCAGGATGAGGGCCAAAAAACACCGGTGAGAAATATAAAAATCTTACAAAGACCCAACGGAAAATATCATCACTACATTCAAATACCACAAAACTTCTGAAAATCTTTCCTTATTTCTATTTGTGAATAATTCTGTTTGCATATCAGCAACAATCATCCATTGTGACTTGGTGAATCATTACCAAAATTCACAAGATTCAAACGCCACTAATGATCCATAAATTCACTCTCAGCATCAATGAGAAAAAAGAAAAAAAAGAAAGAAGAAAGAAGAAATACCCACTCACAATTCATAAACTTGCTCTCAGCATAACAAAAAACAAAAGTATATGCAGAACTTTCATTCTACAGATAAAAATCTGGACCACCATGTGTTTAAAGTCCTATGATGATATAAGCAAACCATAATACTCTTCCCATTAACCATGTAAAAATCTACAGTGTTATGAGGTAAAGAAATGAAGCACGTCAAATAAGCCAAAAGGTCCTTTCCTACCTTCGCAGAAACACCAAACTTTGCACAGTCAATAGCTATGCGAGTTGCTCGACCAATACTCTCCTTCGTCCTTGTTAATGACCCAAGCACAGCCTCAAAAGAAGTAAGAGCAGCATGTGCTTCTGAATAATTACTCCACTTCCCCACAGATTTTGTTCTTTCAGTTATGGATGTATCAATGTTTACCTCTTCATCAGCAACTGGAGCACCCAAATTTTTCTTTTGCTGTGAATGAACATGGGGACTACAACAGGTATTGTTTTGAACAACATTTGCACTTTCTGATGTAGGTATATGACAAAGTGAGGTATTGGAAGGAGAAACCCGTGCAGGAGAATCCACACCATCAACCGGAGATGAAGTTACTTGGACGTCAGAGACAACCTTTTCAACCAAACGATCATCAGAAATGGAAACCAAACCTTTATCCTCCTGACTTTCTTTATTTTTGACCTCTTCTGTAATGCCACGCCTAAGACAAAAACGTAGAATGGATATTGAAATTTAGAATAAAATGTACTAAGATATTTCCTCCAACAGTAACAAAATAAGGAACAAGAAACGGAATCAAGAAAATGGTTTGTCTGCAAAAAACAAGAAACACAATCAAAACAATGCTTTGTCTGTACAGATCTCACAAAGGCTGTAATTTGCAACTTGGTAAAAATTTTCATCTTAATTGTTCACTATTTGAATAATTCTTCCATTACTGTTCTATTATTTGAGGCAAGAATTGAGCACGTAATATTTTCATAACCATTGTGAAAAGGTGCTATGAATATATACAGTATCTACTTTACTGAGGCACATGAATTTCATCTCTTAACTTTAGAAGAAGAAAAGATACTTTCTGGAGCCAATAGTAAAATAATTTTGGTTATTCAGAGAATAAACCAGACTAACATCAACTTACATTCCATTAATTTGGCAGTTGTCATCAATTTGAGACCTCGATGACTGGTTGTTACCACAACCAGTTGCCTCCAAATTGTACTGATGCGCATCTGCACCAATCTTAGGTGAAATCTTAGCACTTTCATCAGCCCCTGACACAGGATCCAGACTTGACTCATTTTCTACAGTATCAAGCTCTTTCTCAACATTTTCAGCTCTAAAATCTCTCAACTCAGGATTCTCAGCATTTCCTTCATCCTTAGAAGGCAACAACTGATCAGACGATTCTTGGGCCTGTCTTCTGCCAGGACTAGGCAAAATATGTTCCAGCGTTTGTGCTTGAACCACAGTCTGGATGGTATGCATAGCCAAAGGTGACACTATAGGATCTTTGCCGTCAACATTGGTCATAGGCCCTACATCTTTGCCCAATTGATGTTTTTCGCTCTTAGAACTCTTGATGAGTAGATCAGAACTCTGAGCTTCTCCAGAAGATTTGGTACACCCCTCGAAAACTCTGGGATTTGTGCCAGAACAGAAACCAGAAGCACCATTGTCAGCAGAGTCTGCACAGTGCAGTCCCAAACCAGTCCCTTCTTTGCTTTCAATAGTCTCATTAGAACATCCTGTTAAGGATTCGACAAATAACACATCAATAGACGGGTTTATTGTTGATGATGACTCAATGCATGCTTGACCTTCTTCAGCAGCATTAGCTGACATCGCTTCCAGTGCACGATGAAGGCGTTTAGACGGAGGTAGAGCAGCTTCACCATCAGCAGAACAGCCAAACGATTGGTTTTTTGTACCTTTCCAAAGCTGTGGCCTATTTCCTACAATTTCAGTGCAGTCCTTCAAAGGTGATACATTCTCCGGAGATCCCTTCACTGCAGAAGGATCCCTATCAACCAAACTGTTATCATCATGATTTGAAGAGGGGCTGGTTTGCCCTAACATATTAAAAGTGACATCCTTGAAAGGTTTTTCTTCAGTCTGCAAAGAATTTATCAAACTGTCTGCAGAGGATTGTTTGCCCATTCTAACCCTGGCTCGTTTCACTAATGGAAGGTGTTCATCTCCATCTTCTTTTGAAAGGCTTTCATTCAAATTGCCACCATCATTTTGTGAAATATGGCAATTATTCGTCCCTGTGTCAGCTTCCATGTCAATTCTTGCAGAAGGATCAACTGCATCACTAGTACTTCGCTTTCGATTTGGTTTTCTTTTCTTCTTAAAGAAAACAGCCTTAATTTGGAAATCAAGCCCTTTGCTCAACTCAACATCTTCCTCCAAACACTCAACAACAGTCTCTGAATGTTCAACTTTACAACCAGAATCCACAGTGCTGCCTTCATTCAGACTAAAGGCATCAGATTCAACTGTTACAATTTCAGAACCATTGTCCTCAATGCTACCATTTGATATATAAGCAAATGAATCCACATCATCACATTCAGAAGCATCAGGTGATTTTTTGGCTCGTTTATTCCTTCTTAAGGATCCATCTCTAGTAACATTGGCAGATATGTCCCCTACATTCTTCCCCTCATCATTATATGGCATCGTAAAATTCTGGAATCTACAGGGTTCAACCCTTGATGAGCTTCTTGACCTTCGCGCTGAAAGTACCTTTCTCTGTGTATTTTGAAATGGCAAGCCTCCAGATCTTTTTCTTGAAGTGTAGGTGGTTAAAACAGGTGTTTCTTTAACTGCCAAATTATCAGCAGGTTGTTCTGCTACGGCCTCTTTATCAGACATTACATCTAATGGTCCAGCAGCTGGAGCATTCTCAGATGGAAGACTTGGATTGTCAGCAGCTGTAGTAGAATTTGAAGGTTTCGATTGTGAATCAAGTGTTGCTTCAGAAGCTTCTGTTCGGTCCTTCAATCCAAAGTGGGCAGATGAGTCCGCTGAATTCCCACCATTCGCCAAAGTGCCATCGTCACCAGAATTGGAATCAACCTGGTCCTGTTTTTTTGATTTCTCATAACTATCTATAATTTCCTGCACTGCACGAACAAAATCTGCACCCCTTCCCTGGCGTTTGACCAAAAGAGATTGTTTCTTTTCTTCAGTAAATGCTTCAACATCAGCAGGATTGCAGAAGGCTCTGTATAACAAAGTACCCATTCAAATAAGATCACTTACCATTTTCTTCAATCTAGTTCCTAGGAAATGCACTTGGAGACAAAATAACATAAAATGGGCCGAAATCAAAGAAAACAACCAATACCAAACTCCATTTCACCCTCATCCAGAAGACAAACTGATAGGAACCCACTCCAATAACTCAACAATTTCAAGATAAAAGGTTAAGAGGACAAACAGACAACCCTCACCAAGTAGACAAAGTTCATGTGCAACAGAAAAAAGAAAAACATTTAATTCATTTTATACAAGTGCAATGGAACACTTCCAACATTTCTATGGAAAGATTACTGGTTTGAATGCCATGAGATGACATGTTTCATATGAAAAAGAATACTTGTTTTCAACATGAATCTACAATTAACTCAATCACCATATAAAAAATGCACAACTAGCGTAGACACATACGCATGTGCAACACATACTTGCTAAAAGAACAAATTATACAATGAAACACTTCCATCATTTCTATGTAATGATTAATGGTTTGAATGCCATGTGATGACATGTTTCAAACAAAAATGAATATAAATTTTCAACATGGATCTTGAATAAACTGTAATCCCCATATAAAACAATGCACAAGTGGCGTAGACACATATGAATGTTCAACACATAGTTGCTAAATTAACAACTGGTACAAAAGGCAAATATCACATATCTCCTCCCAGTATGGTGCGTATATAAACATATTAGCAGACTCAAATCATTTGAAAAATATCAAAAATTCCAAGGTCTAACAAATTGCAAGTTGGATTTCTGAAAAGAATTTAAACAAATCAAGAAGGTTCCTAAGAAATTTCAACCATTACAAGGAAAGTTTATAAAAAAAATTTAAGATTTAGGTTTACCCCTATTTAAGGGATACTATAAGGAGATCAAAAATCACTTGTTTCACATGAAGGGGGGAAAAAAAAACCATTGCCATACAGGTCTTGATTTAACCAATCACTAAACCCCACAACACAAGCAGCACAAAACAGACACCCCTGCTCGTTAATGCATGCACATAAAATGTCCATGCAACACACACTTGGTTAACAAACAATTTATAAATACTAATAACTATCTACAAACAACTTCATGTCACTTCTATCATAACCATAATGCTGCATAAAAGGAAGACCTTAAGGGTTTTTTCTTCAACATTCTACTTACTTCAAAAGAACCCCAAGACAGATAAACAAGAAACATACTTTTCTTCTTCATCAAGGGCTTCTAACTAATATACTTGATATAAAAGACCATCAATAATATCCTTCAAAAAGAACATTATCTGGAAGAACTAAAAGGCCAACTAGCACATAAATGGAATTATAGTATATATTTACATAAATCAAATTTATCATTGACCATGAACAACCCATAGTCCTAGTATGATATCAAGTTTTTTTCGTAGTCTCCAAAAATCTATTCAATGAAATTTTTCCACAGCTTCATAAACGTGTTTACACAAATAATTTCATAAAGAACAGTTTTAAATCCTCGAGATTCAGTGTTCTGACCAGAAAAAGGATCCCAGGTAAAGGATAAATGCATGTAAATGAAATACACAATCGCAGCTATGAGCAAAAACTGAACCCAAAGTCTCTGGACCTCAAAAACCGAGAACATAAACTGTGGCCTTAATAGCCATCATATTCCAAAACAGGCCAAGCTTCAAACGAAACCTATAGAAAGTTCAACAACACTCTAGCTCAAGTTTTGGCCATCAGTTTCAAAATACAAAAGAGCCAATTGACCAAGCATATTTCCTTCAAGTAACTGATAAATATATCAACTCGAGAAGCATAACTTTCAATTGTGCAAAAAAATAAAAATAAGAACTTACTGATTTGTTTGCATTAGCCTTGTGATAATTATCAATAAATTTATCATTTACTCATTCATTCTCTAGACCCTTGCAGTTCATCAAGAGATAATGAGATATAAAAAAGACCACAGTTCCATTCGATTAATCTGCATTCAATTTCAAAATAACACACTTTGATAGGCACAAAAAGTATCTATAACACCATATGATGACTATCCCCACATAGGACTGATAAATTATCTTCCTCAAACTCTTGGCCCAAGACTTCTCAAACAAGTTCTAAGTCACATCAAACTCCAAAGTTTATTTATTTACAATTTGCAAGGTATTAGGGGGAAACCCTTTTCGTATTGTTTTAAACAAAATAATTCAAACTAAAGCTTCTCTTAGATGCAAGTGTATTACAGTTACAGTTTAATTTAAAAAAAAAAGAAAAAAAGAAAGAAATACTATATCGCCATATTATCACACATCTATTATATCTTACTTAACATATCTTACTTAACATTGTTGTTTTAACATGGCTAGGGCGCAAGATGAACACTTCCTAATCTCAACACTCCAATAAGCCAACCAACATAATGTTATTTGCCACAAACAAAAAAGGCATTCCATAAATTTAATGATACAACAGCTCAAAGGAGATCTTAAACCTAATACTGCAAGTCTGCAACCAAAGAGATTTGCAAAACAGCTCAACCATATTTATATATATATTAGTACACTGAAATTGTGATCACAAAAGTTTTAGCAACTCTTATTGGTATCATCGCCAACCCAATATCCCAACCTGCCTAAGCAGATACATCTTAGGAATTGCACGCTTTAACTCTTCAAATCTTTCAAGCAATACACAAGATGAGGCAAAAGTTTAGCTATGTACTAGCAGCTTGAATTCGCACTAAAGATACATACTAACAGATGTTCATCTTCATAAATTTTAACCACTCATTGTTTGAAGATCTATAATTAATGAGAACATATTTATATATCCAATGAGCCTAAAATTCTGAAAGACAATACTCACATAGTCACATGTAGTACCAAAGCATGATAATCACATATAATTATACCATACCACAATCTACATGCTGAAGTACAAAACAACCACTCGAAACAAGTTTATAAAAATATTCAGACACAAATCTGCTACAAAGCAGACTGAAGAAATGCCCACAGTTTGGTCATACCTTCACTTTGAACAAGAAAAAAACATGTAATTGACACTTAGCTTAAGAATTACTGGTGGATAGGGTAACAAACAAACAAATTCATCCCTCTCAAAATACACTAATCTATCACCACCCTTTTTTCAATGGTCAGTGGCGACAAAAGAACAACCAAACATTGAATTTATCATCATTAGGTCAACATCATCAAATGTATAACAAACAATAATTGAAATAAAAGTGGTGATAAAATAATAATTAAATCACTAAAAAAAATTCACATCAGTCAGACTAGCCAACGTTAAGACGCATCAGGAAATTAGTCACTTTGAATAATCTTGCGTTGTCCGCTCAATCAACTTAATAACCATGCCCTTCCTATAACAACATGTGTCATTAATTCAATATCACCATATATATATATATATATATATATATATATACACACAATTGTCAATCAGTCAACTGAAAACACAAAATAAAGTACAAACATAAGAATGCATCACCAGATAACTAAGCAATATGTTAAATCATAAAACACACAAAATATCATCCACACTCATACTGAAAAACAATCTAAACAAAATTAACCAAAACATTGTCAAGAGCACTCACATTTGCTGAGTTCCAAAGAAGTACACCAGTACTTTCTTCCAATCTGCTGAATAGCCCCACTTCTCAGGCTCACTTACCTGCCATCGGAAACCAACACATTAACCCAAATGAAAACCAATGCATAAAGCCCGATACCCAACAAAACAAATATAATCAAAAATTAAAAATAAAAAGAAAGAAACAAAGGTGTCTGCAAGACTTGGTTAAATTCAGATGTAAGTACTAATCATTAAAAAAAAAAATGCTACCCCTAGGTAGTTAAAGCATTTCAACATCATAAAATTCACTCTTCTACATTATATTCAACACGCTGCTTCAACCTAAACAAGATAAAAGAATCAATTTCTCCAAAATGTCTCATGTTAATGAAAATAACAAAAGGATTTGTAACATTAGTCTTCTGATAAGTGCGCAAGGGATAGTGACATAAAAAATTACTCCTTTTTTTTTTAATTACGAAGGGAAAACCCAAGAATCCCTCTTTAAGCTTATCTATCAATTAACAACACACCTCCCATCAAATCACATGCAAATAACATCATCAAGAATTATTATAAGTAATAAACACCCAATAAACTCTTGACTATAGCTCCACGAGCAGCCCCAATTAACAAAACCAACAAAAAGCACCAACCCGCCGAGTGCCCACCAAGAGCACTAAACAAACCACATAAAATCCAACTCAAATCATATACTACAACTGCCAAATCTCTAAAAAAAAAAACGAGACTTTTCTATTTCTTCGAATTAATCATACGCATATACAGAAAAAGGGAGCGGTGCATACCGTGGCAGGCCAAGCAGGGAAGCCTTTAACTTTGGCGAGGACAAGATCGCCGACCTTCCATTGACGGCGAGCGGCGGCTGCGGCCGCGGCTTTGCCGGCACCTTTTCTCCGACTGGGCGCCATCGGAGGCTCAAACGACGAAATTGTATCAGGACAAGCGAGTCAAAGCTAGTAAAGAAAACACAAACTGAGAAATACGCCAAAACGGCTCGCGGGTAGGAGCTCTTTGGCAGTGACTAGGGTTATCCAGGCACGATTTGGCTATAAAATTAGCAGGCATTGAAACGCAGCAATCAGTGGAAGAGAAAGTGAGTAATTAAATTGAAAACCCTAATTTTGAAGGAGCGAGGGAGCAAGCGAGAGTGAGTTCGTCTGTGTGTAATTTTGGGAGTTATTATGGAAGAAGGCTCTTCACACACAAAACAGAAGAGACAGATATTGAAATTGTTTGGTGAAAGATGTCTAAACTGTGCCGCTAGTGTGTAGGTTAACATTAAAGTGTTGTGTGCTAACGTGCGCTTGCTTTAAATTAAATTTGATTTGTTTTATCTTTTATCTTTATTTTTCCCCCGTTTAAAAGTTTTATCCCAAATTAATTATTTTTATTAAAGTTTGTAACATACAGTATTATAATTAAAGAAATTTTATAAGTATCTCACACTCGTGTATTTGATCTAATGGTTAATGTTATATGTTCTCCTTGAACAATTAGATGTTTGATATCTAATATCTATTTTTAGTTAATTAAAATTATTTAGAGAAAGAAACTTTCAAAATTATTAGAGTTCCAAAAAATATTTATATGATAACATTTGGATTATTATAATTTTTTTTTTTTTTTTTGGCCCTTTTTTAAGTGTAATGGGTTGCTTAAATTAACCTGGACAACATTTTTTCTCCAATAAAAGAGTCACTTATTATGTGGGATAAAATAATTTGAATTTTTTCGTATACTAAAGAACGAAAAGGCTACCTAAATCTTAACATGAAGATTTGTGACCAAATTCAAAATTTATTTATTTAGAAACATAATATTTGAACAAATTTGTATGTATTGAGATCGTATGCCTGACACTCATTCTACCACTAAAGTTACACAAGAGTGTGTCCAAATTTGTAATTTATGGATGATATATTTTTACTATATCATAATTCTAATTTTTCAAATTTTAAATTAATAATTTATAATTTTAACATTAAAAATGTGTACAAATATTTTTTTTAATACTTTATTAAAAAAAAAAGAAAATCTTTTAGAACTTGGATACACGTGATCTACCAACCAACTGTGATATATGTGTGTGTATATATATGTCATCATTAACCATTCATACCTAAGACCATGCTCTAGTGGAGTGGGCTGAGCTTTGAATTAGTTTTGCACTGACAGGCAGCGGAGCATGGCTGGGCTGGGCTGGGTTGGGTCCATGGTGGATACATTTTAAGAGCCCGTCCAGGTTAAAAAGGGTCAAGTTCTCCATCTGGTCCATGCCCGGGCAAATTCATGGACGATTGATGTTTGGGCCAGGTTTAGTTTGAATTTCACCCAATTTTCAAAACCCATTAAAAATCCTCCTCAAATTATTAAAAACCCCTATGTATCAGGAGGTTTTCAATAATTATAGGGGAGTTTTTGATGATTTTCAAAAGGTTTGGATGCGCTCAAATGAGTTGCAAAGATATATGAAATAAGCCCATATTGTGTATATATTATCATATTATAAGATCCGGTTTCATAAATAAATATTGATGTATTATATTTTTTTTTCCTAAAATCTAGTTAGAGACCACCCTAATGGGTCCGGTGACAATTAATGCTTATAGAAGAGTTAACAACTTTTTCCCACCCCAATAATGGCTTAATAACATTTTCTTACCCACATACTTTTAAAATATCACTTTACTACCCAATTTATATTCCGGTAGTAATCAGAGAGCAAATTCGGTCCAAACTATTATGACTTTAAAAAAAAAGAGGTCGATGAGTCTTTTGGTAGTTGAGAACTTTTTCCCACCCCAATAATGGCTTAATAACATTTTCTTACCCATAAACTTTTAAAATATCACTTTACTACCCAATTTATATTCCGGTAGTGATCAGAGAGCAAATTCGGTCCAAACTGTTATGACGTTTAAAAAAAGGAGGCCAATAAGTCTTTTGGTAGTTGGGATTGATCAAAATTTAATTTAGGAGGGATGACTGTGTAAATCCTAATTGTTCGATTGTCAACGATTGGCAAGGTCATTGAGAATAGGGTTTAAGGGGTTTTGGTAGTGATGATTAGAGAAGAGAATAATGATAGTATGAGGTTGTAATGGTGTCGGAATCGGAGACGGAATATAAATTTAGATAATAAAATAATATTTTAAATGTTTATGGGTGGAAAAGTGTTAATAAAACATTATTTTAGTGGGAAAAAATGGTTGACTCCTAATAGAATTGTAGCATGTGGGAATTGGAAAAGTGGACGGCACCACAATTCCGACTCCAAAGAGGAAATATTCAAAAAACGCGTCGCAAGAAGTCAACAAATTCCTACCCCATCTTCATTCCAAACTCCCTTATTCTTTTAACCAAATCCCTCCCTTTTCCTTTCTCTTCCAAAACTCTACTCGAAACTCTCATCTTCAACTCCAAATGGCTGTTTCGCGCCTTCCACATTCCCTCAACTTACCCCACACAAACACAAATAATCATAACCTACCGGTTTCAAGGGTCTCTCTGTCATCGCCGGCGACTGCCAACACAAGCTACACAATTTACCCGGCAAAACACTTCCAACGAATCTTCACCAAGAACAAGCCCTTTCACAATCACACGGTGTCCACAGATTTCCCATCTCTCTGGAAAACAATAATATTCCCAAACGAACTGATCGCGGACGACCGAGTCTTGATCGAAGAATACGCTGAGGAGAAGAATGGCGCGAGCGAGCAAGTGAAGACAGAAGAAGAAGACGTTATTGCGAGTCTTGTTAACAGATTGATGGCGGTGGTGGAGAAGATGAGAGAGCGGGAGATGCAGAAGTTCCTGAGCAAAGTGAACAAGGAATTATCATACGAGGATAGCGTTATTCTAGCTGAGGAAACGAGTAAGGAGATTGTTAATAAATTCTTGGAGAAGCCAATCGCATATTTGAGAAATAACGATGGACGTACTATAGAGCAGAAGTTGAAGGATTTTAGTTTCCTAATCGGTGTTCTTGAAAACTCATGCCCGGCAAATCAAAGATAATTTTCTTTTCATTAATTTTTGCGGTTTTGTAAAATTTATAGTGTGAGGTATCTACAATTCAGTAATCCATTCTTTGATTTATTAAAACATGATTCAACTTGTTTAAACTATTTATGACATTCTTTGCAAATCTTCTTCCTCCGTTAAAAGGTGTTACAAGTATTTGTAAATAATAGGGTTTACATTACGAGTTCAATAAAACTTTTTTATGGTGATAATGTTGAGATCAATTAAATTTATTAATATAAAAATGTTATAATTTAATAGAGGTATAGTTACATAAATCATTGTTTTGATTTCTTATTTATAATTGATGTTTTAGTTGTATTAGAATTTCAATTCATTGTTTTAGTAGTACTAGGATAGTATGGAAATGAACATCAAAGAGTCAAATTAAAATTAAGTGATCAGATTTGATAATTTCACTACAATAATCAAATAGATATTAATGTCTTCCTCAATAATCCAATGAACAACAAATCATGTATATTTTAATTGAAAAAGAAATTATTATTGACATTAGACAAGAAGAGGAATTAGATAATATTAAGGATGATAGTACAAAATACCAAAAAATTCATGTCAAAAAGCTCTAAACATGTTTGAGGGCTAGAAATATTTTGGCTTCAACAAGAAGGTATCCATGCTAGTGGCTTATTATGTACCCGCAAGATAAAAGATGTGGTAACAACTCTAAAATATAAATCATTATCCCAAACAATTTTAGATAAATATTTTATTTCATCTTAAACCTTTAAGGTAATATAACATATATTTTTTGTAATGTGCATATAACTAGTACTATGTAGAGATAAGTTCCTTAAGACGAGACTTAGAAAAATTATAATTTATTACAATATGAAATTTATTCTTATTTATAGCTAATCCAAGTTGGGATCAGAAGTTTTTATGACTACATGGAGATTATTCCTATATAGAGTATCACTATAAAGAGATTCTACTGTATTTGTAAATAATAGGATTTTAAAATTAATTTTAATAATTTAATACAAAGATAAATTTTATTAAAAAGTTGAGCTTCTTTAATTATTCAATTAGTGTGGTGCCAATAGATCTACTCAATTTTAATATCGTAATTAACGGATATCAGTGCTATAGCGTAACAAGGAAACTTGAAGGAGAGCAAAACTGCACGACCAGAAGATACTAAAGCCAGAGCAAAAACCCAAGCTGAAACAAAAGCTTCCAGCAGACCTTTCCAAAAATAACCAACATCACAAAAACACCCCATGCAGTTAGGGGTGTAAACGAGTCGAGCCGAGCCGAACTTTTAGCTTATTGAGTTCAGCTCGTTTATAACAGTGTCGAGCTCGAGCTCGAGCTCGAGCTTGGCAAGCCTCAAAACAGTTGAGCTCGAGCCGGCTCGCGAGCTCGCTATTGTGTTATTTCAAATTTGCACTTTGGGGGGGAAACTATCATTTTTTAAAACTTTTTTCATTGGAAAATATCGGTTTAATACCTAATAGTTTAAAAAATTATCAAAACACCCTGTGAAGTGTACAATGCTTAATCGAGCCGAGCCAGGCTCGCGAGCCCACGAACCGAGCTTCACTGTGTTCGAGCTCGACTTGGTTAACGAACCGAGTTCGAGTCGAGTCGAACCGAGCCTTATCGAGCCAAGCTCTAAACGAGCTTTTACCGAGCGCGAGCCGGCTCGGCTCGTTTACAGTCCTACCTGCAGTGTAAACACCAACACAGAAACCCGTCTGCAACACCCACAAACTACAGCAGCTAGCAACCACTAAAAAACCTTTTTACATAAGAAAACAAACCAGAATCATCTTGCTGCTTAATCAAACACCAACAAATAAACTCCAGCCACTGCAGATAGCCCATAACAGACTGTACCAACAGCAGATGGACAACAAAATTCCATCTCACTCAAGTACCCAACTACAAGGTCATCAACCATATTAAGAGAAATTTACAAAGAGACCATATGTTCATCCGACTGAAGCCAACCAAAATTCCACAAAGACACCTGCTTGGCCCCCCACTCAAATAGATTCAATCCTCTGAATATAGAACTCACAAGAGAAACAAGTCTTATATATTGATTTTGAGTTATAAACTTTACATATTTGGATTAAGTGCTACATATAATGCCCATATGGTATTACGCTTTGTTTGTGTTGATTTCCATGGATTTTTTGTTAGACTATGATCGGGACACTTCAAGTGAAAAGTCTGAAATACGAGAGGAAATTTTCCAAAATTCCAGTATAAAACTTCTTTTTAGGGAATCTTCCTCATAATATTTTGATTTGTAAGGTATATATAGCCAGATTGTATAAAAATTTAATTAATGCGGGTTCAAAAGACAATTGGTGGGCCTATTTAGCATTAATGGAACTCTCATTTCTTCTTTTTATCTTTTCCTGGTTATCAACTAATCAACTAAACTACCTTTAGTTTAGGTAATTGGACGATTCCCTTGAGTGTATTATTCAAAAAATTTAAAAAATTATAAGTTTGAATCTTTATAACTACTAATAAGGGATAATAATTAAAGATTAATTTAGTCGTTAATTACAAGGTCTCAAGAAACTAATTGAGACACACACAAACTAGTCTGTATATATAAAAAAAATAAAAAATAAAAAAAAACTCACCAACTCTTAAACCAAAAAGACCCTAAACATTGGTGAATATGAATCTGAATATTGGTGAATTGAATTATATCTGGTAATTGATTTTCTTTTATCTTTTCTGGAGCAGACATGAGAAGCTAGAAATTTAAAATTTGATTGTAAAACTCGAAAAGGGTCTCATGCATATGATGGTTCATTGCTAGAAACAATTTAATCTAATACGTACGATCACTCATTTTAACTAAAAATGGAGCTACAGGGTCATGATAAGAAGGCATTTAACAGCATGGTTTCCTGGCCCAGCTCGACCGGGAACCAGTAGCTAGATCGGGTCGGTTCATATAAAAAATCAGAATTAACATTTGACCCACTTCCACCTGCGATTGGACCGGTTTTTGTCGATGAATCACTGGTCTAACCAGTATTAATCGGGCCTGTTACATTAAAATATAAAAAAATAATTAATTTTTTTTTATTATCATTGTTAAAAATTAAAATCTGAATTTTTTTTATTTTTTATTTTTATTTTTTTGCTAACATCACAGTCCAACCTGCAGGTTGAATCGTTTGACTCGTTAAACCTGAAACCCAATGGCTTGACCGGGTTTTCTCCCGAGTTGGGTTTTAAAACCTTGAATAGCAGTACACACATGGGTTGGGGTCGGACTATTTTCTCCCTGGAAGGGCACAAGGCGCACGAAAGTGTCATCTAAAAAGTCCCAACTATTTCGAGCACATTTCTTGCACGCCTCGTAAATTAAAAGTTGTAGGGATATAAAGTCTATCACTAACAAAACACTATAGAAGAATAAAATCAAGTTTAGAAAAATATTTAAAAAAATTATTTCTGAGATATGTTCTTATCAAACGACAGACTACTGCTGCACCTGATTCACATTCTATGTTTTTGATATTGAAACCTGGAGATCGGAGAAAAAAATCTAAGCAGATTTCTCAAGAAGTGCGACACGTGTAAAGTATATACAGTAACACACCCCGTACGACACCAACCACACCAAAACGACAAAAAGCATCTAAGATTCTAACAGACATCCGCTAATGGTGGTTCATCACTCTCTGCAAACGGGCCACGTATCCGAACAAATCAGAATGAAATTACGTGTATACCTCCACGTGTCTTGTCAATATTGATATGGATACTCACTTCAGTGCTAACCCTATCACCTACGGGGAAGATGCTTGTCTTTTGACACGTTAAAGGACACGCGTCAAACGTTGTCGCTTTGTTTGACTTGTTGATTGTGCACCTTCGAATCATCATTAGCCAGACTACGCCTTGTCTCCAGCTCAATGACAAACCAACTTTAATCAACGAAATTACCAAAAAAACCACGGTGAGCTGCTCTAAATTAACGTTTTGAGTAACGGCCTTGTTGTCCCAAAGTGGAAAGTTGGTAAGAGAATAATATTATATTTTTTAGTTTCAATAATTCTCGAATAAACTATTCGTCAGCCTTTAGCTTTTAGCTCTTTTCCTTTTTGAGTTTTTGTTCCATACCCTCAGCACGTGGTGACACATATGCAAACAACTTTATACAAATTAACAAATTGCTAACTTACACGCGTAAACTCCTGGTGATACCACGTTCTCAGACATTATTTGTTGTGAGATTAAAGGATACTTATGATGGATATTGTATAATTTCGCACACTTCACCGGACTCACACACGTAGAATCACTGATATTTTCGAGCCACCAAAAAGATATTTTGGAATCTGAGACTGAGACGACACGTAGCACCAGTTTTCAATCAATCCCTTTGCTGACATAATTTCCTTGATTCTACATTTCTCCTTCAGGCAATTCACGCAATAAGAAATCAACACGTGTCGTTTTCCAATAGCCTTCTGACACGTACCTTCCTCAAACCAGAATCCATGGCACTGAAAATGAGTGATCTATTTCTTACACGACTCGTGTCCAACATTCAGCTTCTGAATCAGGTATATATACATATAAGCGCGTGAAGATCTCTAATTAGTCCATCACTATCTCATGCATTGTGTGCCAATGAGTGAGAACAAGAGACTCAAACCAAACACGCCGACTCCTGACTCGGGCGAGTCGCCTTTGCTCAACGAGAGCATACTTTTTCTCATCTTCGAGTCAGTAAAATGGGACATTCACATCCTTTGCTTGACTGCCTCCCTTAACCAGAAGCTGCGGGCGATCGCAGAGCGGCTTCTTTGGCGGAAGCTCTGTGCGTATCGCGCGCCGCGCATGGTAAAAGCATTGGCTAACGGAGCCCCTAACAGCCGTATTAACGGTGGATGGAACGCGCTTGCTAAGCTAATGTTTTTCTGTTGCGGTTGTGAGTCAACTCGTAATTTCCAGCTGAGTCAACGTCTGGCGGGTCATTTCGTTAAATCGTCTCGGTTTTCAAAAACTTCGGGTAGGAGCTTTTTAACGAAGAAATGTCGGGGTGATTTGTTGTATGTAAGTGACCCGTGTGAGCATCCACTAGGGGATAAAGATGACGACGTGGGAATTTTCCGAGGGGTATTTCGGGGATTTACGAGATCCAAGACTAGAGCGTCCTTGATCCAACGCCAGGTGGGGTTGGAGGAGAGCGTGAGATGTCCTTACTGTGGGGCCCGCGTTTGGAGCATGACAATGGCTCGGCTGGTTCCTAAGAGCGCGACTCGGCGGCTGGGCACGCATGACGGTGGGTTGGAGTATTTTGTTTGTTTGAATGGGCACTTACACGGGACTTGTTGGCTGGTGCCGTTGTCGTCTGATGAAGAGGGCAATGACGGTAGTGAAGATTCTGATGACGGTCTTGATGATGATGACGACCGGACAGTTAAAGACGGAAGTACGAGCTCGATGGGAGAGGAGGTGTAGAATTCCTTTGATGTATCCAAGCCATTGGATTGATGACCCCACGTTTTGTACCTCTCACTGATGATGTGGAGGATAGTATACACAATTTTGTGCTGATGTGGATTTTCTTTTCTCATTATTGTACTGGATATTGTAGTGCAGTAGATTTTTCTTAACTTGCGTTCTTTTCGTAATTCACATTCTGAAGGGATAATTTTAGAAAAACCGCATAACTATAACGTAGCTACGAAACCATCCCAAGGTTGGGGAAATAAACTCTAGCCTTAGGTTTTTCGTAAAGTTAGTGGATGCGTATGATATTTCAATTTTTTCAGAAAAGTTTGCGTAGTATTAGCCTTTCAATATTTTTTGAAGGATACTTTAGATCTTTTCAAAAGTAAGAATATAAATTCACGGACACATTTGTTAAAAAGGGATTGTAAATGGACAAAATTATGTTAATTAGCATTAAATTTAATTGAAAATGATAAAAAAAGAAATAAATGTGTACTAACAACTATTAAAAAAAAAAGAATAAAATTCATATTATTATATAAATTATATAAATTCAAAAATTCAAAAAATTCAAAATAACAAGTGGCCAACGATGCTGTTAGCAAGTTAGTATCTTTGACTAATCTTTGGTTTGTCTGGACTTGTCCAAATAGAAGCTAGATTTGGTCATCAGGATGGCCAATGATCTGGCCACGCTTAACTAGATTGATTTGGCCAAATCAAGTTGCCATCGATTAGGTCCAACGTGGCCAAATCGTTGGCCATGTTGGCAGGCTGGTCTAAGCTCTATTTTGGCTAGGCTTAAGAGAGGAGCGACGACATAGACTGATGTCGACAGCCTGGTTGGATAGAGATGGTCAGTTGCATCCCTAGCGATCCATTTTTTTCTTTAAATTTATTATTTTTTAATTATATAATTATTATGAGTTTAATCTTATTTTTTAAATTTAAATATTTTAGTGTTTATAAATAATTGCAAAATAGTGAGAAAAGTTTGAATTACATCTTTACCCTTAATGGGTGTTAAATTTAACATTCTTTAACTGTAATTTGGCCACTTTTAGTGGATTTTTAATTTTGTGTCCATTTACAATTCCTTTTTAAAAAAAAGTGTTCGAAAATATTCTCCCCTTTTAAAATTTTGTTAAAAAACCTTAATTGAATTTTTTTTTTTTTCCTAAATTTCCCCTTCTTCTCCTTTTCCATAGCTCTCATTGTTTCTCTCATAAATCCAGCCTCCTCACGACTAGAGGAAGTCAGATCTTGTCTCATATCAACACGATGAGATTGGATTCGGCCTCTTATAATCGTGAAAATGCTAGTTTCAACCAAAAGCGATTGTCGAGAGATCGAAACAACATTACCAGCAAGGAAAATGAGCTAAGATTTGCAAGGGTAAAATGACTATTAAATAGTTTAACGGATAATTGTTAATGATTTCCAAACCCTTAGATGGCTTCATAATCATGTCACAGCGATGTACAAAACTACCTGCCATACAATTATGGTGTTATTGGGCATTAAATAAAAGAATAATACTGTGCGTACTAACAGATTTTACTAACCAATGTACTAACCTTTGTTAAAATCACACATAGTACCTGTACTATACGCATGGTACCCGTACTATGCTTTATGTTAGTACACTAGTTTGTAGAATCCATTAGTACCTATAGCATTACCCTAAATGAAACGTGCTCTTTGGAATTAAATTCATTAAAGTTGATTGCACCATTTAATGGTAATACAATTTATTTGCCATTTGGATTCCATTATTCCTTCAAAGGAGAAAGCACTCTTTCAGCCAGTAATATTAATTGCAAAAAAAAAAATAAATAAAATATATATATAGACCTGGCACGTGTCATCTAACCAACCAAAAATATGAAGGGCAATTTAGTCAAGAACAAAAGATTCAAATTGTTGGAGCTATTTATAGGTACTTCAACTTTGCATCAAAAGCGGTTGCCGTGGTTGTTGCCGCCATGTTTCTACTTGTATTGCATTGCCTCACACACTTTTCACGAACCAACTAACAAAATCAAAGACTCGATCAAAAGCCATGCTTTTTAAGGTGTCGTAACTTTCCCTCCATTTCCTCTCTCTCATTTTCCGCGATTTTAGTTTAATTTTCTCGGCAGCCAAACAAGTCAAGGACTAATGCTTATTTGGTTTCCGCGATGATTAATCGAGATTTCATTTCAGAATTAAACGAATTGAGGAAGCAATTGGCGAGTCTTAAACGTAAAATGTTATAAGATTGTTTGAAATTGTTGCTTCAGGAAAAGAAATGGCGAGTCTCAAAGATATAGGCGTTGCCGCGGCTATTAATCTTTTATCGGCGTTTACGTTTCTTGTGGCGTTTGCAATTTTACGACTTCAACCGATAAATGATAGGGTTTACTTCCCTAAATGGTATCGTAAGGGGGTTAGAGATAGTCCAACACATTCCGGAACATTTGGGAACAAATTTGTTAACTTAGACTTTAGAACCTACTTAAGGTTCTTGAATTGGATGCCTCAAGCACTCAAAATGCCTGAAAGTGAACTTATTGATCACGCCGGACTAGATTCTGTTGTACAAATCAGGATTTACCTCCTTGGGTGCGTTTAATTCTGACTCATGCATTGATATAAGTCTAGTACTTCATTTGTGTGTGTTTTTCTTTTTAATTTATTTATAATGGATTGATCATTTGATGATATGGATGATTCTTTTAATTTGCAGCATTAAAATCTTTGTCCCCCTAGCTGTACTTTCTTTTCTGGTTTTAGTGCCAGTCAATTGGACAGGGAAGACATTAGAGCATAGTAAGCATGTAATATTCAATGATATCGACAAGCTCTCAATATCCAATGTTGCATCTGGTTCAAAAAGGTCAGGACCGATTTATATTCTCTCTTCTGTCACTTTGCTGTGAGATGCTAGCACTTTGTAATATTGGAACTGAAATAGAGTGTAATTGTGTTCTATTTTGACTTTCACTGGTTTTATAACTTGCCTTGTGTAACGAATCCCACATCAGAAGCGTATTAGGGAGGCTTTAGGCTTATAAATGGGAAGAGTCGATCCACCAAATAGGTTAGCCTTTTGGATGTGAAACTCTCAGTCCGTGACAAGTGGTATCAGAGCAGACACGGTCCATCTTTCGATGTCTCGTCAAGTGCCCACGTAAGGGTGTCCACATGTAATTGTGGGTTCACACGAAAGTGAGGTGGACAGGTAGGCAGGGGGCCCCACCTGTGACGATGGCGTCACAGGATTGGGTAGAGAAGAATGTAATGAATCCCACATCATAAGCGTATTGGGAAGGTCTTAGACTTATAAATGAGGGGAGTCCCTCCACCAAATAGATTAGCATTTTGGGTGTAAAACTCCCAATCCGTGACACTTGCCTTATAGTAATAATTATGTAATGTGTATATGTCCGTATCGAAAGAAATTTTAGTGAGTGCAATGAGTCATCCTGGAAGTTATCCTAGAATGTTTTATATCTGACCTGTGGTATGGAGACTAGCAAGAATCTTAAAGTTGAATCTCACTAGTAATATATGCCTTCTGTTTCTTTTGAATTTTCACTGTCAATAGGAATTTGTGTTATTATATGAGTTCAGCTTCTAGTTCATATTTTTCAGGCTATATGCACATATAGCAATGTCCTATGTATTCACATTTTGGACATGCTATGTGCTTCACCAGGAGTACAAGATAATTGCAGAAATGAGGTTGAGATTTCTGGCATCTGAAAATCGTCGCCCTGATCAATTCACTGTGAGTTTGTTGGCTCTTTTCTTTTAGCTTAATGCCAGTGTTTATGTCTATGTTGTCTAACTGTCCTATTTCCTAATTGTTAACTGTATAATAGGGTCCTTTGTTTGGGCATTCTAACACATTTGCTAACGTGTAAACTAAGTTAGATCTTAATACAGTAAAACCTTTCTATAATAATAATGATGAGATCAAACTAATTTATTACTATAAGGAAGTTATAACTTAATAGAGTTATAATTACTAAGATTAATATTTTGATTTCTTATTTTATAATTTATGTTTTAGTAGTATGTATTAGGATTTCAATTAATTGTTTTAGTAGTATTGGTATTAGTATTAGTATCACACAACTGTTTTGTTCCTATCACCAGCTAGCACTTCCAAAATCCAGTTGTGTGATGCAAACATCATTAGAAATTTCAAAGGTTATTATAGTCAACGTTTTAATCTCTTATTTTTGAAATGGATAGAAGATCATGTATTGAAATTAGAAAAGAAAAGTATCCTTAATAAAATTGTAAATGTAGTTTCTGCATGGTCAATTGTGAAGCCACATACAATTATCAATTGTTTTAAGCAATGCAAAATTAGGACTCTCGGTGTCGATGAATTGCAAATTACAAATGAAGTGGATGTGGAGAATAAAAGACTCATTACAGAATTGACTGACCAGATTCGACAATTTCACTACATTAATCGAATGCATATTAATGTCTTCCTCGATCATCCAAATGAATAACAAGTCGTATATGCTTTAACTGAAAAAGAAATCATTGCTGCAATTAGACAAGAAGGGAAAGGAAATAATCTTGAGGATGATAGTATAGAAATACAAAAAGTTTTGTGCCATGAAACTCTAAATATACTTGAAAAGTTAGAAATATTTTGGTTTCAACAAAAAATGTCCATGCTAGCGAATAATTATTACATACTCACAAGTTAAAAAGTGTTGTAACAATTCTAAAACATAAATCATTGTCCCAAACAACTTTAGATAAATATTTTATTTCATTTAAACCTTTAATGTAATGTAGCATATATTTTTTTACAATATACATATAATTATTACTATGTGGAGGCAACTTTCCTTATATAAGACGGAAATTTGAAAAATTATAACTTATTACAATATGAAGTTTATTCTTATTTATAGCTATCTTAAATTAAAACTAGAATTTTTTATGAATATGTAGAATTTATTCTTATATAGAGTATCACTATAGAGAAGTTTTACTGTAAAAGGTAGATATGTCGTGAGAGAAACGTATTCTATCCAAGGATTGTGGACTTAGTGAGTACTTCTTAGATTGGATGAGTGGTTAAATTTCATGTGTTCTGTAGATTATTGTCTAACAGCAAATGCAAATTCTAAGTAGTTAAGAGTTACATTAGAGTTGCTCACATTGT